CCCCAAAACCCCAAAACCCCAAAACCCCAACCTCTCAATATTAGCTTAATATTTGATTAAATAAATCAAATAATTATTTCTTCACCATTATATTTCCTAAGATCTTGAGGTCCTCTAAAATAATTTCTCGCCCCATTTCCTAGCGGAAAAATCCAAAATATAGAAGCAATCATTAATGCTCCTAACATCACAGAAGCTGTATAGTTGAAATTTTAAGCAGTTATTCCTTGCTAGGGATCATATCTAAGTGGAAAGAAGAGTACCAATGAAGATATGATCAACCATAAAAATGAGACCCATGAATTTATAACAGAATACTTCCCAATATTATAATCTAAGCTCTGCTTAAAAGTTTTTCTACTCTATGTCACTCTCAAAAATATTGGAATTGCATAGGAAAGTTAGTATCCTATTGTAGCGATGCTAGTTATAGCTGTAAAAGCCAAAGTGCTTAATAATGGTAAAGTACAAAGTAGAGAGTCAATAATTAGGACTACTAAGAGCACTCTATCAGGATTAGAAGTGCGAGGATTAAGTTATTTCATCCATTCAGACTTTGGCAGACCATTATCTCTAGCAAGAGCATAAGTAATTCTTGTCGTACCAGTCATATGGGAAAAACCAGCTAGAAAAATGTTAAGCATTAGAATCACAGATAGTGTAACAGAAGCAAAATAATTTCTTTCATTGCTGAATTCATCTGTAAAAGTTACATCGATAATGTTAATGACTGATTATTGTGAAACTCCATTCAGAGCTTTAAAAATATTTTCCTGAGATGAGTATAGCAATCCCAATATAAATATGAAGCCAATTACAGAGGATAGAATTATGGAATTTATAATGCCTCTTGGAGCAGAGTGAGAAGCGTTTTTTGTTTCTTCAGCAAGAGTTGCTCCACTTTCATAGCCAGACATTCCATACATTGACATCAAGACCCCAATCATGCAAACATAGATTACTGATTCGAATCCAGTTTCATTATTGTAATTAGTCCAAACAAACTCATGGGAAGATACATTCGATGAACAAATTATAATTGCAGTAACTAGGAATATAGTTGAAATGCACTAGTAAATAGCTGAAAAATTGTTGTACCATCCTTGCTAATCAAGCCTCAATCTGTTTTTTATAGCCCACATAATCAAAGTTACAATGGCAATTAGTACTTGTTTCTAATCACTTAAAGTTACTTATCCATCATTGACTAAAGATATTATAGCTGAAAATACCTAAGCAAATCCAAAGGCAAAACTTGATTCACAAGCCATATTTCCTATCATATTTAGCCATCCGCAATAAAAGCTATTAATGGGAGCCCAATCTGGATGAGATAAGACTCCGGCCCAGTAATAAACACTGCCAGCTGCAGGATAAACGGAGCAAATCTCGGCAATGGAGGCACCAATCATCAATGTAAATATGCAAGATACAATCCACCCCCACACCATAATTACAGGTCCTCCAGTTGTTAAGCCATAATTGATTACTAGAGCTAAAGATGTAATCACTGCTATCGATGAAAAACAAAAAGTAAAGGACATAAAAGAATTGAATCCTTTGTAAAGTTTCTGCTTTTAATATAAAGTTCCATTTAATTCATTGATCAAATTAGTACTCCCTTATTTCTTGAAATACTCATCTTTTTCCATTTTATCGATATAAATAATAAATTAAACAAATTCACCTTTAAAGTGAAAAAATACATGATGCGGGGTTTTGGGGTTTTGGGGTTTTGG